TATTTGCATTTTAATAGATGTCTTCTAAGTCATTCAGCCTTCACAATCCAAAGGAATGGATGGCTAATAATGAAATCACAGGTACTGGGACAAGTTGGTGGGAAAGCAATTTCTCTCCACCTCCTCCCCCAAGCCTTTCAATTCTCATTCAAATGACGGCACAGTCTGCCAACTCTTTCCAGTAGGCAACCTGCTGTGCTCATTTCAATTGTTGGGAGTCCTTATCCCTTAAGCTTGCCTCAGAGTCACCTGGAGGGTTTGTTAAAAACAGATTTCTGGATCTGTCTCCAGAGTGTCTGATTGGGGCAGTCTGGGGATGGAGCCCGAGAATTTGCATTTCTAAACCGTTCTCAGATGATGCAGTTGCTGGTGTTCCTGTGACCTTACTGAGAACCATGGTATAGTAGTTAGGAGTAGAAACTCTACAGGCCAACTGCCTGGGTTAGAATCCTCATCTTGATACCAACTGCTTTCACAACCTTAGCTAGTTACTTAACCATTGTGCCTCAGATTCCTCGTTGATGAAAATGGAGATTATAATGGGACCTGCTTCATTGGATTGTTCTGAGGTAATGGAACGGTGCCTCATCTGTAGTAGTAAACTAAGTAAGTGTTTATTATCATTACCCCAAGCTCATAAGAACTGAACTGCTATTTTTCTTCCTTAGACTGCAGACACTTCGGGCAGATGCACTCCTAGAAGCATCCCTGCCATGCCTGGCCGCTGAGTTTGCCACTATCCTGGTTCCCCCGGATGTTGACTGCTCCTCTGGAGAAGTTTGGCTTAACTAACATTGAGTATTCTTTCTATCCTACCCTGCAGAGAGCTTTCGGAAAGTTTTCCAAGAGAATACCCATCATCGTATTTACAAAGCAGTCCAAAGTATTTGAATAACATACAGCCCTATAAACTCCACAGGCAAAGTCTTAGTTTTGGGGGAAGATAGACTGCTTAGTTGAAATAGACACATGTGGACTTCCTTGTTTGAGGACAGATGCACTTATGACAGGATGTAAACATTCAGTGTCTATACACACACACACATACATATATATATTTCCCTTTTTCCATTAGAACAGATCGTTTGGCCCATTGTCCAGCAAAGGGCAACCTTCCCCAGAATGAAAGAAACATCTCATCTCTTCTCTCCAGGAAGCAGAGATAGGCAAGATAAGCCCCTTCCCTGACCTCCAGGGAAGATAAGCCTGTTCTCTGTTGCCACCAATTCAGGCTTCAGTTTTAATATCTCATTGAGGCTCTTTCTGGTGGGTTCTGAAGTGCTATTACTGGTGTTAGTAAGAGAGATGCATGTCTGCTGGGGACAGTGGCAAGCCAGAAAGGACATAACTGGTTTTAAGGGGGCAGGCACCACCCAGAAGCAATGGATATTTGACAACTATATTTTGGGCATGTGTCGCTGGATTTTAAGACTTAAAAAAGCCAAAAACTCAGGTTTTTACAGGAAATCTCCTGATTTTTAAATGTTGTCAACCAACTGAAATCTTTAAAAAATTATCATATGAGCTGAACAAGTATGTCCACAGTACCTATTTGCTGCCAGTATATAACCTCTGGGTTATTGTGACAGAAAAGACATGAGGGCTTTTAGCATGGATGGTAAATGAGTCAGCAGCAGGCAAGCAGGCAGAAGAGGCTGGATAGGTGAGGAAAAGAAGAGAGCAGAAGCCACAAATATAATCCTTATGTGGAGGGTGCATACTGCTCTAGAAGGACTGGGTAAGTGGGCTCTAAAAAGGAGCACTGTGAGAGACACCAATTGCACTCAGGAGTTGTATTGGATCAGAATCCTTGCAGGCTAGCCATCCAGTCTTCAATGGGTGGGAATAAGAACAACTAAGTGTCCATTCACTGGACACTCACACTGTGTCAGGCATTGTTCTGCAAAAATTCACATATATTACTTAATTTAATCATCAGAATATCCCTGGGAGGTTGATATTGTTATTATCCTCATTTAACCTTCATCACAAGCCTGCCCCAGTTGACTTCACAGAGCAGGAGTTTTGTGAATGCACTGTTGTGGGCAGAATGCCTGCTTCACAGCTACCATGGGTTTCATGTAGCAACCGCACCCCAACTCTAAGAAACCTAAGACTCATAGCCTGGTGTCATGGAAGAGCTCCTGAACCTGTTCTTTGGGAGTCAATGAACTGGATATGTTAGCATGCCAAAGTTGAGACAGTGGGAAGTAACTACACTGTTATAGTTTTATAGCCTATTGCCTTGGAAATCAATAGCAGAGCTCTGAAGGAGAGAGTTACAGGACAGGTCTGTTTTAATGGGAAGAATGGCATGGGCTTTCTATGCCCTAGAAAGTTATTTCATGCAGGACTTTGCAGGGAGAGATTTGGGGTAACTGGAGAGCAGCATGAAGATACTGGGAACCCAGAGCAGAAAGGAGTGAAAAGGAAACCTAGAAGGAGGCAAAAAGAAAGTTGATCTGCTACATGACTTTTCTGAGGGCCAGTCTTGTCTGGGAGCTATTGGCCTGAGTAGGAAAAAGCCACAGAAGGAAATGGGGTTAGGAAGTTTAATCAGTCCAAATGTCGGAATAGAGCTTCTGGTTTCTGAACATTTTTCCATTTACTTACGTAACCCCAGCCACAGAAGTGGGGGGCAGGGGAGGGGGTGGAGGTGGGAGTAGACTATGAATCCACCCTAAGGTCTTGGTTTATCATTATCTAAATATATATTTACCAAAGGCTTACAAAACAGGGCTTTTTAAAGTTCTGACTGATGTCCTCTACTATTTTCTTAAGGAAATGAGATTGTTGCTTCATCGAATGATGGGTTATTTATTGATGGTAAAAAGTAGCCAGCAGGACAATTTCCCCATATTGCTTAGTAACTTTTACACACACTCATAAGTCATATTTATATACTGGTTTAGGACTAGAGGTTACTAAATAACAGGAAATTCTGAAAATACTTTAGTATATATAAGATATCAAAGCTTTTAAATTAGAGACAGTTTCATATCTACTTTATAATGTCAAAGCTGAAGTGGTGGATTTTCCTCTCTCAACTACTGAATATGAATACTTTGGACCCACTAGTTAGTTGTCATTTGATAACATTTATCAAGTGCTTACTGTTGCCATCATTATTCCTAATAACAATAGCTACCATTTATTGAGCACTTACTATCTGCCAGACATTGGCTAAGAAGATTATATCATTTAACCCTAATAACCACCCTACCCAGTTAGTGTAGCTAACTCCATTTTACAGATGAGATATCTAAGAGTTAGAGGATTTAAATAACTTGCCCAGGGCCAGAATACAAGCCCAAATCTCTCTGCCTTCAAATCCTGCATCCTGAACCATAATAACAACCACAATACCATCAGAGACAATGACTGACTTTTATTGAATACTTACCACTTGCCAAACATAGCATTATGTGTTGCATATGCATCATCTCATTTAATCCTCAGAATGCCTCTGTGAACTCAGTGTTGTTGTTGTTGTTGTTGTTGTTGTTGTTGTTGTTATCCTTATTTTACCTATGATGGAAATGAGGCTCCAAATGGTAATCTGCCCAGAGTCACACAGCTGGTAAGTGAAAGAACTGTAAGTTAAAATAGGTCCATCTGATGCCAGAGGCCAACTCAAAGGTCACTTTTTCTAGGAAGCTTTCTGTAAACCCTCTAAAATGTTTTAGGTGTCCATGTGCCATGTTTACATTGCCTTGCTTCCCCTATCATAACACACTATTGACATTATTATTATTATTACTAGTAGTACCATTTTTCAGTGTTTTGTGCAAACACTATTCATACATTATCTCTAGTCCTCACAATGGTATACACAAAAGGCATTATTAGCCTTATTATCTGGGGAACAGGTTCAAAGAAGTTAAGTAACTCATCCAACATCATGCAGCTAGTAGAAATGGAGCTGGGCTTCAAATCCAAGTCTGTTGGTTTCCATTGAGTCTAAGCCTATACTTTTTCCCACCAAAGAATGCTGCCTTCCTTCATTTTGTATTGAAATTATGTTTACATATTTATATGATCCAATAGACCAGAGTCGGCATACTTTTTAGGTAAAGGACTAGATCATAAATATTTTAGGCTTTGTGGGCCATACAATTTCTGCTGCAACTATTCAACTCTCCTGGTTGTATCATGAAAGCAGTCATAGACAATACATAAAACAATGATTCTGGCTGTGTTCTCATAAATCTTTATTTATCTATACTGAAGTTTAAATTTCATGTAATTTTCATGTGCCATGCTATATATATATATATATATATTTTTTTTTAATTTTATTTTCAACCATTTAAAAATGTAACAACCAGTTCTTGGTCACAGGCCATAAAGAAACAGGCAGCAGGCCAGACTTGACTAGTGGGCTCCTGCAATAAACTGATAACGCCTCGAGGATAGAGGTGAGTCTTCTTCATTGCTTTTTTCAGAATTTCACCCAGTGCCCAGAGTTGAGACCCAGTAAATACTTGCTGTGAGGCAGTATAGAATAATGTTGGTTGAGAGGCAGACTTTGGCTAGAGCATAGACTATAGGGACAGTTTGCTATGGTTCAAATCCCAGCTTTGTCACTGTCTAACTTTATGATGTTAGGCAAGTCACTGTGAACTTACTCTCAGTTTCCTCATATAAAAATGGATATAATAATAGTACCTCCCCCACAGGTTGTTATAAGGACTTTGTAGGTTAATAAAGCATTTACAGCAGTGTCTAGCATCATCATCATCATCATCATCATCATCATTAACACGAAATAAGACAACCCCATTTCTGTCTTTAAGAAACTTGCAGTCTTACTAGCCAGTTAACCAAATACAATAAAAGGAAAGTGAACCATCTTTTGTAAACCAAGATGTTGACAATTCACTTAAATGCAAAATCTTGTTTCTGAAAACGTCCTGTCTCCTGTTTTTGACCTGCACTCCTTGGTGAATGTAAGTACTCTGTAGAAGCCTTCCAACAGAAATCTACAGGAGATGAGGTTCGTTTGTCCTGCATAGTGGTTTGTTTTGTTTTTGAATTTAATATATTTAGGCACAGCAAGCACACTCCACCTCCCTGTAGGTACTATTGCTCTCTACTGTTTTATTAGCACCACGCTCTAACCAACTGAGCTAACTGGCCACTCTGTTTTCTACTGTTTTAAACTCTCAACTTTTCTGCTTAGCCACTGAAGGCCTTTGAGTTCAAAACTTCTTCCCTAGTACCTCTTATCTGGAGCCTTCATTAGGGACCAGTTGCCCTGGAGGCATTCTTGATTCTTCTTCTATCTGTAAACATCAGCCTAAAGGTCTGCCCACCCTTGGCACAGGCCTCCTATTTCATTCTCTTCTGTTACTATTCGTAAGCTCATGTACTCTGGCCATGCTGAACTTCACACAGTTCCTCAAACAAATCATTTTCTCTCTCACTTCCCATCATTAGCACCTGCTATTCCCTCTGCTTGGAACATTCTTAACCTCACTTCACCTTTACCTTCAGGTCTTTAGTATAGATGTTACTTCATCCAGGAACCCTTTCTTGACACCTTAAGTAAATATCAAAAGCTCCTCCTCTGAACTTAGTGCCCTACATTTCAGTGGCAGAGAATGGTTACTTTCTCACTAACTCCATTTCCTTACTGGGTGACGAGGAAGATTACATTTCCTAGCCTCTCTTGCCATTAGAATGGCTTCTAGTAATTTCCAAATCTGGCCATAAATCATGCTATGTGATACTCCAAGGGTTGTCTTTGCTTATTGACCTGCAGAAACCAGAGGATTCATTGGCAGACTCTGAGGATGGTGAAGCCATATGACATAAAGAGCATGGATCTTGAAACACTACTTAAAGGACAGCTGGCCAGGAGAAGTACTTGACCTACATTTGCCTGTGAACGACAAACTTTTATTGCATTGAATCACTGAGATGTGAGGATTGTTTGTTATAGCAGCTAGAATTAATTACCTTGACTAATGTATCTTCGTTATGTCATAGTACCTAATAGTCCTGATTATAATTGTCTTTTTACTTGGCTTCACTAGTGGCTAGAATGTCTGCTTCGCCAGGGCAGGAGATTTTGTCTGTTTTGTTCTGTATAGTATCTCCAGCATCTAGAATACATGGCACTTGTTAATTACTCAATAAATATTTGCTGAATAAATAAATCAATGAGCATTTTATTCCTCTCAAACCCACCATGAAAGAGTGGAAGGAGCCATACCAGGCCATGAAGACCATGTCACTCAATGCTGCCTGAGGGAGTAACTGTCCTGGAAACTGCCAAACTACCACATGATTCATTCCAGATCACAGCTCTGGAACTGGCCATATGAGGCTAATCTCACCATGCCTTACATCTCTGTTAACCTCAGCCATTGCCAGTCTATCCCTATCACCCACCAAAACCTCTCCCTAAGGTCACTTAAGATTTCTATATCACCAAATTCAATAGTATCCTTTTTAATAGGATAAAAAGGATACTATTAATAGTATTTAATAGTATCCACATTAACCGATGGAGAATAATATTTTGGAGAATAATATTATTATTATAAGAATAATATTATTCACTGTTGGAGAATAATATTTTGTGACAGCGAATACTACTATTTAATAGTATCCACATTAACCGATCTTCTAATAGTGTTCAACAGAGTTTGGTATTTTCTCTCCAACAGTATTCTTTCTCAGCTTCTGTGTCACTATACATTAAAAAAAAAATTCTCCTGTATCTTTGACTACTCCCTTTAAGTCTGTTTTGAAAGCTCCTCTTTTTCTCTAAATTAAATTTAAATTTTGGAGTGCCTCGGCACTAGTTCCTGGAGTTTCTTCTCTATCTGAACCCTCTCCTTAAGTGATATCCTCAATTCCCATTGCATTAAATATCATCTCTATGTTGACTTCTTCTGTATTTATACTCCCAACCCAAAACTCTTCTCCAAATGTTAGACTCACATGACCAACTGCTTAGAGATCTCCATGAAAATCTCAGAGGCATCTTAAACTTAAGCTGTCCAAAATAGAACTCTTTATTAATGCCCTCCTCCCTATCCCTTCAATATAACTGTGTCTTTCCCTGTCTTTTCCATCTCATCATAAAGAACTACCATCTACTGCTATTGAAGCCAGAAACCAGCGAATCATTCTTGATTCTGCTATCTCCCTCACCTCCAACATCTAATCAGCAAGTTCTATAGTTTCTAGCTCTAAATACATTTTCTTTATTTTCACTGACAACACCCTAATCTAAGCCACCATCACTTCTTGCTCATACTACTGTAATAAACTTTTAAATGGTTAACCGACTTGTACTCGCTCCTTCCTTCCAGTCTATTCACCACACATTAGCTGGAGTAATCTTTAAAAGGGCTTTCTTTGCACTTTATATAAATTTTATACTCTCTCAGTGGTCTACAAGGCTCTATGTAATCTGGCCTTTGCCTACTTCTCCCACCTACTCCTCCAATCCTACTAGTCATACTGTCTCCTTTCTGGTCTGTGAACAAGGCAAGCATTTTACTGTCTCAGGACCCCAACACATGCTGAGTCTTCTGCCTGGAATGTACTTTCTTTCCCCTACTCCTGGCTTCTCTTCATCAGGCTACCTCCTTAATAAAAAATACCCTTATACACAAGTTCTCCTTCCCTGACCACAATTTCTAAGTATGCTTTCTCCTCATTCTCTATAACTGCACTTTGTGTTTCTTCCTGCATTTATCACAATTTGAAATTATATGTTTATTGTTTATTTACTTGTTGATTGTCTATCTATCCCATTGTACTTGATGGAAAAAAAAGGAGAATAATATTTTGTGACAGTGAATATTACATAAAATTCAATTTATTTGTTTATTTATTTATTTATTAGAACACAGCCACTCGAATTTGTTAATGAATTGTGTATTGCTAATGTAAGGTTACAATAGCAGAACAGAATAGTTGCAACAGAGACTACAAGGCCCTCAAAGCCTAAAATACTTATTATTTCACTCTTTGCAGAGAAGGTATGCCAACCCTTAAGCTAATGTATTGAAAGGTCCTATTAAAATGTATAACTTGCCTGAGAAAAGTAGCAGAGTGAGCCATTATCTATCTGCCATCAACACTGAGACTTGGATTTGATTGTTTGATCTGTTTCAGACACCTAGAAGTGGCCTAAGTAAATAGCTTACAAATAAAAAAAAATATTAGAGGAAGAGAGTAAGACAGGTTCAAAAGAAGTATCATTGACCTTCTTTAGGGACAAGGACTACATTAAGTTGACCCAAAATTTGAAATCATGAATGAGAGCCAGGGAGAGGGGATAGTGGTACTTATGGAGGAGCCTGGTGAATAGACAATGGGAAAGGGGAGATCTGCCTATGTGCAGTGGGAAAGAGCAAAAGAGTATGTTCCCACCCACATCTCATTGCTTGACACCAAACTGCCTGGGAGCCACAGAGAAGGCAGTCCAGCTGAAGCTAAGACCTTGTTATGGAGTGGGTCTGGCATCCAACTCATGGTTTCCACTGTGATGAACTTTGGGGATGCTTGGCAACACTTGGGCTGGGGAAGCTGGACAGAGAATTGTTCAAAGGAGCACCAAATATCAGAAAAGCCCTGAGTCCCTGGAAGATAGGACAAGTAAAATAAGTGAATGCCAACAACACTTCATTTGTGATTTTGCTCTTTGCTCTTCTTTATACACATCCTCCAGATTTAGGTTTATAATCACCAAGATCAGAAAAATCTCATTGCTAGGAAGTCCTCTGTAGACCACCCCCATCCCCAAACTCAATATTTTGTGGTTGGGATTAGGACAGGCATTTTCTGCCCTCTCTCAGCTGCTTTCTTACACCAAAGGCATGTCATGCCCCTGGGCTTCTGGGGTTTCATTTCTCAGGAGAGCTAACTCCATTTACAGCTTTAGCTGAGTATGCCTACCACCCAGACAATTGCCCTATATGCCCACACACTGACATTAACTCCCTTTCCCTCTCCCACCATGCAAATTATTCCAGCTTCTCAGCATGAGCCACCATACAGTAAGAGCTACCACAAGGTCAGCAGCCCCAACATACTGTGGGTTTTTTTTCCCCCAAAGGGTGGTGAAACAGGAGAGAGGAAGAGAGGGTAGAATTAGGGAATGGACCAAAGTGAGCAGACCGCAAATCAAAGGGAGGCTGTGGTCTTCTACTTTCTACTAGCATGAAGAGGCCTTTGATGTTAGGCAGTCTTTACCTTGCTACTCAGTTTCGTTTCTCTTGTTCTTCATATTCTGTTTATTCTCTTGTAAATTAAAGAGCTTATTTTCTGCTATGGGAGGGCCCCAAGGGGACCCCCAGAGCCATGGCAAAGCAGATTTAGGTAAAGAGCCTTAAGAACATTCTCGTA